ATGTTTAGAAAATTGTACCTCCTCTTTTGTGGGTTTTCCTTCTACTCTTAGTGATGTATTCAATGAGAAGATTCATTTCAATGTTCCATTATGATTATGATTTTCCTTTATGCTTCACATTTTGCTTCCAGTTTATGAAATCTTCGCTTACCACACAGGTACAGAGATATTCTTTTGTCTCTTTGTGAAATCTTTGTCTTCCACTTTTGGGTGTTCTGCGCCTATTGAATCATTATTTGTCTGTAGAATAAGGAGGCAATTGATATTTATTTGAGGCACATGAATACTGAAATAACCCAGCATAATTTTACAAAGATAATCTTTTTCATGCATGTTGCATCTAGGTTACCTTTAACATAAATCAGGCTATGGGTTAGAAAATATGTAAGAGTTCTAATGCTTGCACTATTTTCGATGTTTTTGATCTCTCTGGGATCTGTTTGTCCATTCTTAGGTCAGAGACACATTGTCTTTGATACAATGACTTTGTGATGCACCTTATTCTGCTAGAGGTTACCATCTACAATATTGCTTTTGCTATTCTTAGACTTTTGCATCCTGTATAACAGATTCGTCTGATAAATTCCTGCTAAAAATTCAAAAAAAAATCATGATTACACAACCCACTAACATTAATTTTGAATTTTATGAGTCCGTTAATTGTTTTCTAGGATGTCACTTTAGAGTCTCGTATACCTTTTGTAACTGTAAATCAGTGTTGCTAAGTTATTTTGGTATATACATTACAATTCTTTTTTGACTATGATGGGTTTTGAAGTGATAACTATATTGGCATCATAGTATGTACAGAAAAGTATTCTCATTTTTTCTACTTTCTAGGAGAATTTGTGTAAGATTAGCTTTTCTCCCTTGAGTTTTTTGGAGGGGTTCTAAAGATTTTGATTGTTATTATTAGGTAGGCTATCACATCTAAAGCACTTCGACAGTAGCTAGAATTTGATAAGTGCTCTAAAATATTAACTTTTTATGTCCTGGAATATCCATTATCGCCACACAAATCATTACATTATGATGCAAAGAATGAACAGTGAGTTTTATTCCGAGTAGTAACATGCTTTAAGCAATTCCTTTAGAAGTCACCTTCAGAATTTCTGCTTTTATTCAAGTATCAATCAACTGCTCAACATTTTCTGAAGATATTTTATTCTGTTGCCATAAAATTAGTATTACATTAAGGAAAATGAGCTTGGGGAGAGCACAGTTTTAAATAGTGAACATAACTAACTTCATCTCAAACGAAGAATGATTTGGAGATTACAGGGGCACTGACTTCATGACACAGGTTTCTTGTTACTCACCAAAGTCTTCCCACAGAGCCTTTTCATTCCCATCCACTGCCCTCTCTCTCCCTTTCTCTCAAAGGACTTTTCAAGACTCACCACCATCTAGAGACTCCATTTTTCTGCATTCGGTAAAATATAGTTAACATTCCTGTCAACACTGAAATGACTCATTGTCAGAGTCCCCCCAACTAAGCCATTAAGGTTATTACCCTATCCCCACCTTATGTGCTCTCACTTGAATTTGGTGCATTAAGCACACCTGTGTTCCTGTACTCTTGAAACACCATTCATCATTGAATACTAAGACAGCACACACTTCCTGCTTTTTTTCTGTTTGCTTCTTCCCACTTACTATTTCTTTGTGTTGTTCTTAACTAACTCATCTTCACCCATGTGATTTAGGGTATGAGTTCAAAGTTCAATTTCTGGAAATGTGTATCTTCACTTTTCAGTGTTATCATTTAAGTGTAACTCTACGTCCAGCATACCTTTTGGGTGCCATTTTCATTCTTTTTCCCTTTAATATTACCATTTGGAGTCCTCTTGGGTCCCTCAAATTCAACACTTTTAAACATTACTCACCAGTTCCTTCCAAGACAGATTCTAAGAGGTAAAAGGCAATGCCATCTTTCTAGACTTGGAGACACTTTTTGTATTTTTTTTGGGGGGAGGGGTGGTACCATTATTTGAACTCTAATAGCTGTGGGTATAACTAAATAGGACAGTGGCTGCCTGACAAGTGCAACATCCTGAGTTTGATTCCTGGTACCAAATAAATAAATAAACATCTAATGAAAATTAATTTATTAAAAGAATTAATTCTTAATCTGCCCACTCCAGCTAGAAGGAACATTTTTCTTGAAACTTATATCTGAGCGCATCTTGCCATTGCTTGAAAGTATCTAGGAAATGTTGGCATATACCAAAAGAAGGTGGGATATTATATTCAAAGATATCAACAGTGTTTAATATGCTTGTAAAATGATAAGTTATAAGTAAAACAGAATCAAAAATTTTTACCATCTACAAATAAGTATCTTTTCTTTTGACATACAGGGAAGGAACCTCTCCAAATGTAAGGCATTGCTTAAAATTCGGTAATTGGCATAGTCAGAAATTATAACTATCACAAAAATATTAGCTTTTTCCTTAATATGAAGAATTACTCTGCATGTCAGACCACACTAGTGTCTCTGACTCAACACTCTAATAGCAGCACAGAAAAGGCACGGGTAGAACAGTTGTCCATGAACAGGTCTGTTAGACATGGGATTTCTGAGTACCTGTGACAGCTTAGATAAGATGTCCAATACGGAAGAAGAGGAATCAAGGATGAGGGAACTGAGCTACAGCAGAATCTGGCAAATATGGCAGAAAGATTTTTCTGTGCATTTATGTATCTTTCAGAATCCCTTTGTTGGAATTATAATCCTGGAAGTCATAAGTTAATGGTATTTGGGAGTAGAAAGTCCAAACCATAGTTAGGATTAGATGAGGTTATGACTGTGTTATCCCATCAGGGCAGGAAGGGGGAAAAAAAGGTGGAGAGGAAGAAGAATAGGAGGGGGAAGAGGAGAAGAGGCATGGGTTGGCATGCTCGTTCTGTCTGACAGAGGAGGACCTCTGCAATGTTAAGCTTCAGCAACAAGGTCTTCTCTAGAGCCAAAGTTAACACTGGACTCTTGGACTTCCATAACCATGATACAAGTAAATAATAAATGGTTTTATAAATGTATAACTCCATAGTATTTAGCAATAGCAGCAGAAAATAGACCAAGACAGATATGTAAAGAATGAACATGTCAAAGACAAGGTGAAATCTCATCCCGAGACTTCTAGTAGTTCGGAAGGACAGTAGACTCTATGTAGAAACTGAGGCAAAACACGCTCCAAGTGAAAAGAATAATCTCATTGGGGATTAACCTGGCATGATGTAATTGGCACCACTACCATGACTGTTACAAGACTATAGAGGCTCACCTTGGAAATGGTTAGATAAGGGAAGAAACATAGCAGTTGATCTACATGGTCTGTGGGTTGAGAGATTAGGGGTAAACCACAAGGAATAAAAATAGGATGCTTGAGAAGGTTCCAGTCCAGAAAAAACCCATCTAATAGGGAAACCAAGACATTTGAATATTGCAATATGGGAGCCAGAAAACAAAGTGAATATTCTCTCATCTGCAGTTGTGTAGATACCTATAAGACATGGCTAGAAATGGGCACATGCAGTTTGAGATGAGAACAAAGAAACTTTGGCAAGACTGACATTGTTAGTTATTTTTCATTATCATATTATAAATCTACCCCATAAATGTTACCTAAAGCACCACAGACTCTTTCAACAGTTTCTGATACTGATTCTCTTCATGCTCACACTTATCTGTGGTTTTACTTTCTGTAGATTTCAATTAGCCTCCGTGAGTCAGTGTTTGAAGTTATTACATGAAAAATTCCAGGAAGCAAACATGTTACAGGTTTTCAGTTTTACACCATTCCGAACACCAAGATGAAATCTTGCACTGTTGAATGCATCCCGTGTTACACAGGCTTGAATCATCACTTATCCAGCGTATAAAAACTATACGCTGCCTCCTGTAAGTCCTGTGGGAGCCATCTCAGCTATCACATTGGCCATCATGGTACTGCAGTGACTGGGTACAAGTTAGTGTCTTTTCCTCAATACTGACCCCCAAAGCAAAAATGAAGTCATGGTGGGAATTCTAATATGCTGAGAGTTCACGCAGTGCTATCTTAAATTGAAAATATAAAATATCCTCAATAAGAAAAAAGTCTTCTGAGATTGCTAAAATCTGCAGGAAGAATGGGTCTCTATGTGTGAAATTATGAAAGGAAAAAATAAATCCATGCTAGTTTTGTTGTTGTACCTCAAAATGCAAAAGTTAAGGACAGGGTACTTGATAAATGCTGAGTTAAGATGGAAAAAGCTTTAAATTACAAAATTTAGTGCTATCCAGGGTTTCAGGTGTTGACTGGGGTGTCTTAGGACAGTATCCCCTGAGAATGGGGGGTGACTTTAGTACTGGCATAATCTGAACTCTTCACTTACAGCTAACATTAATTTTTAACATTAAGTGTCTGATCAATTGACAGTGGTTCGCCATGTACAACCTAGAAAGGCTAATCTGGCCTTGCTTTTGCAACTTAGCTGGTGTCTGTGTCCTAATTCAATGCTATGAATTCCAGGTGGGCTACAGAGAAAAGAAGTCTAAGGGGCCTTCTGTGGGGAAAATTATTTCATTTTGTCATTCTACAGCAAAAGAACAACAATAAAGTATCGGTTCCACTTTTAAGTAAATAAGGGGTTATTTTGCTCCTGACGTTTTCATTCAAATGACTGATCAGATCTCACATGTCTGCTTAAAAATGTCTGCCTCAGGTCCTTACAAAATGACAGAGGATAATAAACTGGCTGATAGTTAGAAGCAAGACAATGAAGCATTGTTTACACAGAAGATTGAGTAACTGGTTTAACAAAAGAGGTTCTTGGGTATCTATTGTATGCACAACTATGAGATTTACTGGAGCTTTTATAATTTCTGCAAAGCTCTTTTCCAGCCAGCTTCATTAACTTGAAGTAAATCAAATCATGCAGAAATCTGGCTCAGCCAGAAAGAAACCCAAGAAGATACAATATGAAGAAAAACAGACACAAGATGATAAGGTTTAGAATCGTTGGCATTTTTCATAAACATTTTGTTTGAAGATAATTAAGTTACAACCCAGAGACATAAAACATAGTAAACTATTAAATTAGGGGTTTTTTTTAACCTTTTCTTTACAATACATGTACATATATATGTAAAACTGCACATATAAAGTATGTCAATGAAATGCATTATGTAAAGCTTAAATATTATTTGAACAGAAAGGTATTTTCATACATTTTATATAGGCACAAGTCAGAATTTTTGCTTGATGGGAGAGTACTGTGGAATTGTGTGGTATTTCTCTAAGAATTTGGTCCTAAAATAGTTTTTTATTGTATATAGCTAATTTCGACCTGAAGATAAATAGAATACAAATTTGAGTGGCCAAAGCCCTTTAATTTGCTGCTCAAAATATCTGGGCAAATGAAATGATTATGATACTTAGGCAAGTAGCCCCATTTATTGGTTTCTAGCTTTATTATACTTTTAACTACTTGGAATGAATTCATTTTCCCCCCAACCTGCTTTCTGAAGCTATATACTGACATTTTATTTTGGAAATAAGCAAAGAATAAGTCAAAAGAAGTGATACTTTAAAACAACCGAATATTTTCAAGGAACCCTCACTCTTTCAAAGAGCAATCCCTTGGACATCCATTGCCAGCAATGAATCATAATGTGGGCTGCGGTCAGCACCAAAACATCATCCAAAATTCACATACATAACCTTCGTGATCACAGCTGAAAAAATCCCAAAGATTTGGGCTAATTCTGATAACCACTAAAGTCTTTCTCCAAGAAACATTATCTGGACACACCATAGCCACCAGAGTTGTTAATTCAGAAGGAACTTACTGGAACAATAATCTGAGAGGAGAATGCAAATGACTACATCTTAATTAGAATACGGAGGAGGTGTGAAAACGACTTTAAAGCCACTCTGGAGTCCACGTGGTCTCCTGGCGGTTGTCTAGGAAGATATTCAGCCACATCCTGCGGAAGCTTTGCCTCATTTCCGGTTTGCAAATGGATGCGAGTCTTTCTCGGGCCCAGGTTTGTTCTTCTTGCTGGGCTGACAGTCTATGCAACTAGGAATCCTGTGTGGGGATGGATGTGTGCGCAGGTGTTTCTGCATCCGTGCACAAGAAGTAGAGGTGGGGAGACTACAGCACGCATTTCAGGACTCCATAGATACCACCGAAGCTGCTATGACACTGGTCTAATCAACCACACAGCACAGGGTGCTGGCTGAAGGTCAGTGTGGACCGAGTGTGGTGCGCTTCTTCCGAAGGGGGCTGTGGCTGCTGCAGGGTTTCAGTTCTGAGTACTGCACCTGTGCAAACAAACAGACGTGACACTGGCGGCTCGGTAATCCTAGCTCACCACAGAGTGTGTTAATGGCTCCCCAAGGACAAACCCAGGCAAAGGAAGGAAGGTTCAAAAGTAATGAATCATTTTCTAAACACAGGAACATGGAGGGATTAATTGCAGGAAGGATTTGAGAAGTCATGCGTCATTTCTTGAAACCAAAATATTAAAAGCAGATTTTTCTAATGAGACGCGTAGGTTTCTACCTGCTCGCAGCACTGCCAGTTGATGTTAGTTTCGCGAGCGCCAGCTTTTCACTGAAAGGAAGCTTAATAAGTGGCTCTTGGGAATGTTTACCCCAGTATATAATACAGCAATTTACTGAGAATTATTCATTAAAAATTATCTAAAATCTCAGGGAAAAAAATCTCAGCCAACTACAGGCATTTATTTTGCCTAAGAGAGAAAAAAATGCTGAAAGTAATACTGGACCTGAGACTTATATAGATTTTTCTTAAAAATTAATTTCATTTACAATGTAATGACTAAAACATCTGTGATAAATATGCGCACTCGAGGAGTCCCCAGTGGTACACTGTCATTGTGTTATTAGAAAGCGCCCTTGGCAGACACGAGGATCTTACTAGCAAAATGTAGATCTTCTTCAAATGCTCTTTTGTTGTGTTTCTCTGTATTCATGCCAACACCAACTGGATGACCACTCTGCGGGCTGCTGGCTAGACTATGCACAGACAATCCTTGGGGGGCCTTGATGGAAATTTCTATTCTTCAAGGATGCAGCATGAACTCACACTGCAGCCCAAGTGATGGTACATTGCAAACACATTGCTCTGGCGTGTGTGCTCTGATAGGCTGGCAGTGGAAGGCCTTCATTTAAGCTCTTCTATTACAGACCACATGTGTTCACTATTTTTAGCATTTGTGCCATACTCCCCAAGGACATTGTGCCCAATCCCAAGTTAGTCTGCACTTTGCCAAAAGCAGATAAATGAAAAGAAAAAGATTCTTTCCTTCTTGTGTTTTGTGAAGGTTCCCTGGGGGAAGAGAGTACAACATACTTGCCACGCTTCCATCCAAAAAGAGAGGCCAGGTTACAATTTAATTATGTGATGCAAATATTAAGGAGTACATTCCTCTCTATAGAATGTACTTTCCCTGTTAACTGTATCGTAAAATGAAAGTTAAAGAGAAAGTTAAAGAGAAACAGCATCCCAAAAGTCATTTTAACCTCTGGAGCTTGGAATGGAGGGAAAAGGAAGTCTAAGATCTTGGAGTCCTGTGTCTTCGCAATTTAGCTAGAGAGGCCGGGGAACCAATTATGTTATAGTGGCCCAATGATGAAAATCAATACTTAGTTTGAGATTCTCCTAGGTAATAAAGGATTATGCCTTTGATCATTTTGATGATATTTCATGCCATGGTCTCCCCATCTGCCTATTCAGTAATCACCACTCTCCCTCAGAAAAATCACTGTCTGTTCTCCTTCCTCCAGATTTACAGTAGGCTGATCTGCAGGAACCCAAACTGGACTATTCTTTGGGACGCCCTGGTATTGCTGGCTTCACTAATCTCTGTGTACCCACAGAAGCAAAAGGCTGCTGGACTAAGTGACCATTACCTGTGAATAATGCTTGTGATTGATCGCAAATTATGTCACACCATCTCTTCCTGTATGAGGTATTAGAGTAAGTGGAAGATTTGGCCTCCGCATTGCTAAGTCTTTAGAGGAAAGGGAACAGAAAGAAGGCCCAGGAGATAATTGGGGCAAACAAAAATAAAAAGAATAATCCTCTTGCCCCTCCCCGTTCTAAAATGCCTGCCATCCAGAAGGGGAAGAAATAAGCATTATTTCTCAGCTTTGGATTTCAAGCAGCTCCACTCTCTGAGCCCATCTTATCCTCTTTAGGATAGCAAGCAATAAAAAAAGGGACACAGCAGCATGCTGGAACTGCACAGTGTGAATTCCAGATCATTCTTCAGTAGCTCTTTTTCAGGATAATTTTCCCCAATCATCTCATGCCCGGGACAAAGGTTTTTGCCACCTCGCTGCAAGCCAGGGCTCTTTAGGGATTGTCTGATTGCTTATCTCAATTACTCACACAAGCACAGCCTTGTGCTCCTTCAGCTCCAGGCTTGGCCAGACCTCAATGCTGGGGCCCCTGTTGGTGGTGACCATTCATTACTTACCTTTTGAACATCCGAAGGTACCCTGGAGAGGAAGTCTAGTAGCTCATTATTGTCGATGGAATAGGGATTTCGGAGCTTCTTAGTGAATTTATTTATGCCTGCAAAACAGCAACACCAGAGATCTCTTCATATTCATCTATCTACCTATCTAAAAACTTGCCTGACTTGGGGAGGCAATTTTTCGCAAGTAAAAATTAGTGTGAAAACAATTACTAGACTTCGAGTCAACATGCTGCCGTCCTGTGGAATCATTCACAAATGCCTCTTCCTGAAAGATGGGGGTGAGCTGAGGAAGAGAGGTGCTGCCTTCCTCAGCTGTGAAAATCCCATTACAATCCCAGCAGCAGAGCACCAGAAATACAAGCTCAAACGGGGGAGATCGTTGGCTTTTTTGGAATACACTGATTAACAGCCGCCTCTGCTATGAAAACAAACGTCCCAAATGGGAAAAGGACTTCATTAGTCCAAACAAGTCCCTGCTTGGAGGCTTTCAACCCAATGTAGCTGTGGGAGACAGAGGGGGGAGGGTTTTCTGTTGTTAGGAACTGCAGAGATCTCTCCCCGCCCCAACCTCCAATTCATTTTCACAGGATCCTCATTTCTCCTTGCAGAACAGAACTTGACATGTTGATTTTGCTTTGATGCCTCAGGAAACTGTGAAAAGTTATTATTGGAAAATTATATATGGACCACAACACTGACATGTGGCTTTGTCTGGGCAATGGAGTACATGCTAATTTAAGATCGGGACAGTGGTAATTAGACTAGGACTCAACATTTAAGACATTAATACACTGTAGAGATGCATCTGTGGTGGCTGTATGCTGGGTTCCTGGGTTTGCCCAGAACATTCTTGGCCAGGGCAGATCTTGAGGGGAGTTTCTCCCTAACACCCGCCGTCTTCTCCTCTGCTCTTTGGAGCCATTTTGCCTGTATCCAGAGCTCATAAGCTGTAGTCTTTTCACCAAATGTCAACCCTTTTTTCATGTTGAGTTTTAGAAGCAGAAAGAGTAGGTGGCCCTCTGAAGTTTTGCCACAGGGTGCTTGTTTAACAAGGGTCGTATCTGAAGGCCTGTCAGTGCCAATGATGGTGAATGAATTCTTAGCTTAGTGGTGCTCTGAATGGCTCCTGCTCAGAAGCCAAGTTCAACAGTCTCCAATACATAAATGGTTTGATGTTTTTCTTTGTTCATTAAATATTACTTGGCTTTCATCTAAGGACTGGACTTCCTGCATGGCATTATACCTGACACAATGCCAACCTCCATTCCTTTCTTTGGGGGGTCACATTTACATGTGCTTTGCAAATGGGAGCCAGCCATTGTGCATGAGTAAATGGGGGCTTGGTGGCTGGGCTGAGGAAGGGTCCTAGCAAATGATCTTCATTCCCTTAAGTCACAGCTGCACCCTGCCTTTCTTCCCTCTATCCCACAGCAAGCTCTGTGTTGCTAACTAAAATTCCCCCCAGCATTCCTTTAAACTAAAATACTCTTACTGTGTTATTCTAAAGACATTTAATTGTAGCATGGGCTTTTTGGCAAAAAGAAAAAAAAAAAAAAAACAGACAAGGCAAAATGATGAAGGGAGACAAAGACATGGAGAAAAGATATATCTTCTATTGTTAATTATATACAGTGTTCGCATCTGGAGCCTTTACAATGCACAACGAGGCAGGGATAATATCACACCCGATCAAAACACTGCATTCTTAGTCACTGAGAAGATTATAAACCTGCACAGTAGCTCAATGCACCAATAAAGGCAGAAGTAGTCCACAATACACTGAGACTGCCTATGTTTGAAAAAGTTAAAATAAAAATTACTAAGCATTCAAGATTGCATGCTTCAAAAGCTCAACTTATATTTATAAGGAATCTCAGTCTTGAATATTTCAATAATCCCATTGTACTATCTATTGTGAGATCAAGGGTCAACAGAAGATCATAGTTGCCCAGGTCATCTTTAAGGGTCAAAGGGTGATGCAACAAAGGTTATGGCACAGAGATACCTGGGCCTGAATGTCAACCTCATAAAGTATCGCCTATGTGATTTCAGGCAAAGCAGTTCACCTTCCTATGGCTCAGTTTCTTACAATGAAACTTTAATAATAAAAAGCTGCCAGGTACAGTTTGTAGGGTTAATAGGAGAATTACAATAATAAAAATAGGCAAAAGGGTTCTGTGATCTTACCATGCTGTAGCGGTCCATAACCATCATTACTGTAGAAATCAGTAACTAAAAAAGACAAAGGAGCTGGAGAGGAAAAGGTATCAATAGTATTATGTAGGTGATCACCTGCCCAAATTTGGAAGTTGTGCTGTTCTCCAGTCGAATGGTAGATATAACTTTAAACTAAATGGTACAGATGGAGGAGTATCTGCTATATATTTCATTAACTAGATGGGAGGAGTGATGAAAAGAGAGTAAATCAAGGAATACTATTTAGGGAAGACACATTGTTAAATGGTCCCAGACCACAGATTGATTGGATCAGTGGGGTGGAATAAGCCTTCCAATAGAAAAAAATCAGTTGGAAAAAATCAGAAGAGATGGACAACTGCATGGTAGCTTACACATTTGGGAACTTGAGAATAACTGCTTGGAACAAAATAACAGTATTTTTCAGACATTTTTAACAAGGAATATTCCATGTGCAACCCTGGCAGGTCTGAAGCAGGGAACACTTACGTGGTCACTTGCCAAATCTTGAACGCCTTCTATATAAGAGATAAAATGTTGTCAAGTGGAGATACAAGGGTAAATAAGTTCTGATTCCTTCTCATAAAAATACTCAAAATTTAGCCTGGGAATTCATATGTATCTTGCAAAAAGGAATGAGACTGGGACCAGAACTGGAATGTTGTATGATGAGCAGAAGAGAGGGAATATGGGGAACTTCTCAACAGGAATAGAAAGCATGCATGAGGTCATATCCTAAGAAACACTCACATCAAAGTAGGCGACTAAATTCCAGTAGGTAACATATCCTGTAGAGAATGTCAGGTGTCGATCCCACCCAAGAGAAGGAGTGATCAACAAACTGTCATCTATGTAGATTCTGAATACTGAACTTGAAGCCTCATTCATAAAATAGTTTTCAGCTGATAACTAATGATCTCTTATCTTTATGAAGCTGTATAGGAATTACAGGAAAAAGCAAAGCATCTCACTCATCAAACTTTTACAATGAACTGATTGAATCTAGGGATATTTCCCAAAGCTCTTATGAAGCTGGGCACTTGTGCTTATGTCGCATGGTTTTAACATTTAAAACACATATGCAGAAATATTATTTGGATGTACAGAATATAGAAAGCTAATACATACAGCTGAATGTTTTTAATTCTTTAAAAAACATTTTAAGTGGCTTTGATTTCTCCTTTGTAAAACTCAATAAAATGAGGAACAAGAAAATCAAAAGTTAAAAAAGGAACACTAGAAGTTTAACATATACATGTATATGTTTATATGAGGAAGTTTCTGCAGGCAATATAAGCATAAAAATATATGTAAAATAATGGGATAGATCTATACTAGCTAATAACTTGTAAAGAGTAAGTCATCATAAAGCATAATTTAAAGGCTTGAATAGTAGGTTTTGCATGATAAGAAGTAGCAGTAGATTGCATGTTGATTGTCATGGTTTTTGAGGACATTATCTCTAGTAAGCTAATCAATGAACTATAAACACTTATCTAGACCACAAAACTGAAGAACTGAAGTTCAGAGAGTCACTGTCTGCCCATGAAAGCAGGATAAACTCCATGGTGCTTAATAATTTCATCTATAAACTGAAAAACAGAAATATTTCAATAAGTAGAGGCCAATACTTGTGGGAAAGCTGCCAGTATCTTAGAGGATAAGATCAGAATTCAAAGTGATTTGGATAAATAAAAGAAGTTTTTGCATCTCCACATTAAAAATTAATGGGGGGAGCAGGGTACAGTAGGCCATCTATATCTGTGGGCATCTCTTCTTCAGATTTTACCAACCGAAGGTATTTGGAAAATATTATTGACCATACAGGCTTTTTTCTTGTGATTAATTTAGAAACAATACAGTATAAGAACTTCTTGCACTGAATTTCCATCATAGTATTATAATAATCTTAAGATGATTTAAAATACAGGGGTAGTGGTGGACAGGAACTATACAAATATTGTGCCATTGTTTGAGACTTGAGCGTCTCAGGGGGCTCCTGGACTCAATCTCTGAAGAAACATAAAGACTACTGTATTAGCTTTCCTTGTGGGGGTAAGGATACAAGAAAGAAATCAAGTGTTCACCAGAGTTTAACACAGCATTTAACTTACGTGAATTTAAAAATGAATAAAGCATAAACTAAATGATTTTGATTTATACATGGGTAGGGGCAGACAAAATTGGAGATATGTTATGGTTTGTGTTTGGATGTCTCCCCAAAGCCTCATGCAGTCATAGAAATGCTTTTTAGAACCAAGTTTTTAGAATTTGTGATTGATTCATGGTCCAGTCCTAGAATTATGATCATGAGTGCTATAACTGCCCTGGGGTGGGTAGTCTACATACAACATAAGGAAGGGAAAGAGTCTTGGCATGCTCCTCCCTTTTTGCTTTTGTTGATTTTGTTATTTTCCGCCACCATAAACTGTTGTCCTCTGCCACAAGCCACCCTGCCTTGGGCTCAGCAGATTATGGACTTTAAACCCTCCACAAAGTGTGAGCTTTCCTTCCTTATTTTAGGGCATTGGTATTTTTTCCCATCAATGAGAGAAAAGTAACCAACACAAGATGTAAGTTCTGAATCTGATCCACAATTGGACTTTGAAGATAATATTTATAAAGCAAAAAAATCATAATATGTAATTTACACAGGAAATGTGCAACAGATAAAGTAGTCCAGGAAACTACTTCTGAGAAATCCACTTTCTCAATCAATATGCCTTACATAGGAACGTGCTTTTTCCTAAGACCCTAAGTGCAAGCATTGTTGCAAACTAAATAAACAGGAACTCTACAAATATGAATATGAGAAGTATGAATATGAGACTTAAACAAGTACTAAATCAGATCTCTGAGGTCAGAATATGATTTTCTTTTTATAGACTTGCTGCAAAGTAGAAAGGTTTAAATTTTTCCTCCTAAATACTACAGAGAATGATTAGCTGAAACTCTCAAAATCTTCCAGTTTTTGTATTTTTATGAGTCATTCGAATTTTTCCATGACTCTTCCCATTCCTCAAGGCCCATTTTTGGCTCTCCTTATCAATGGGGTTCTACCTGTGTTGTTTCTTTTAATGACCCTAGAAAGCAAAGTTGTAGATTTATCAGGCCTCTATGGCCTCTCCACTACACATTAAAGATGCCTGCATGCCCCTCATCTTTTTGAGTTCCCTGAACATCTCTAAGAACTTTAAAGTGATTGTGGATAGAGACCCTAGCAGTCCCAGGAGAAAAGCTGCCCATTTATCCAATGAAATTCCTGCAGTGCATTCTCCTTCTATCAACCTAGAGCCCATTCTGAGACAGACACAAATATTCACAAAGCTTCTTATGCTTTGCCCAATTCCTAGTGTAAGTAGTAAGTTAAGTCATCAAATTTATTTCAAGTTTTCCATTTTGTTTGTCCTTTTTTAATAGTAACTAAACTTTATTTGGGCATCCCCTATCCCCTGGTAAATAACAGCTTCCTCTCCTTTCCGGCATTGAGTAGGTAGTCACCAAACCCATCATTCTCCCTCCCCACTGCTTTTGAATTTAAAAATGACATTCAGTTATGTTTTCTTGCAGGAAAAGTAAAGTATTAGAAGCAACCTAGCAGTGGCTAGATCTTTTACCTTTTACTAAGGGCAAGATGCTGGTGTGTTGCTCAATGTTTGATATGCAGTATTTCCAGAAAATTACTGGGCCACAGCCATATGTTATTTAAGAGAATTTATAGCTGGAAAAGTCCAGAGGGAAATGGCACGCACAATCACATACACAATCACATTTTTATTTGATTACAACTAAGCAAGAGATCTATAAATATCTACTCTGATCATTCAAACTACTGGTCATTCCTGGAAGTTTCTGTTCTCAAGATACTATCCTTCACCTCAAGTTTAATGGCCAGCAAGAGCAAGTTTAAAGTTTATAGTCACATTTTAAGCATGAGTAATTGGTCCTTACCTGGAATCAATGGTCAGAAAAAGGCTCATGTCAAACTTACCCCATATTAAGACGATGTACCGCAATGGAATCAAGTACAAAATAATGGTAGCCACTGCCAGAACCAAACAGGCCAGCAAGGAAAGGAAGGGGACTGTCCAGTTAAAGGTGCTGTGGACAAAGACAAAAGTGTCATTAACCTTGGGGCTCAGCAACCTCCACAGTGTCATATGTCTATGATATTTCAGGTTCATGGTTATATTAATCAAAGCATCTGCTAAAAAGTTCCTTTAAACAATTAAATATGATGTATGTTGTATTTATGAATTGAAATATCACAGTCAATGGCTAATACACACATATTATCCTGCGTCAATTAAAAAAAAAAAACTTGTGAAAAGTCTGCTAAACTGATTGGGGTACTTGAAACAGATGAACAAGGATGCTGTCACAGAGAGTGGTTGGATCCATAGCCTGTGTTTACTTTTGTGTAAATGGAGACCAGAGCACAGGGTATGGAACTGAAAATAGGCAGTCTGGTGTGGTCCTAGAAATCCACGGTCCTACTAGGAATTTATGGGAGCATTTCCTAACTGGTCTTCAACTTCAAACACATATTTCCCAGTCTATCCTATGACCTATACTATAAATATAAAATAATTTCTTTTCCTGGTTTTCTTTGGGGAGAGGGACTTTGGGTAATTCTGGAAAGGTAGCATGTCATTATAATGAAGCAGGCATTTAATGTATTTTTTTTTACATATTTGTATTGGAAAGCTCTTAAAATTCTACCAAGTAAACAATCTCCCATTATGGATGAGAAAAATGAGGCTGAGAGAGATCTAACCTGTGTAAATAATTAAAATTCTATTCGCAGTACAGAACTGCGGTACCTCACCTTAAGCCTATCATCAGTATGTAAATGTACTAAATGTCTCACTTCTTTGAGTTACAAGCAAATTAGAAGACCTTTAAATATCTTTTGTTGGTTATTTTAGCTAGAAATTAATGGGAAGTTATTTCCTTGTCTGTAAGTTTTAGTGTTTAGGAGAGTGCTTAGGAAAATTGATTGGTAAGCAAACTGCCTTGAGTTCCAGTCCAAGACCTATTTCTAATAAGCTGAGCAACTTTGGAAAATTGACTCATTTGATCTGTGAAATAATTTTCTGCCTGCAAAATAGGCATAATAGTACATGGGTCACAGATTTTGCAGGAATTAAACAGGAACTTGCCTTTCACTAGTAAGCTCAGTAGATGCCACATTGTAAACTGTACCCTACTCTCATAGAGAGCAATTAATTACTGTTTGTGAATTTTCCTTGGTGCTGTTTTGCTTGAGTTTGGCCTTGGTTTTCAAATGTCACTTTGGAAAGTAAAGGAATCAATTCTTTATCATGTTTATTATAAGCATTTTTCCAGTTAGTTACTGTTATGGTCTGGATATAGTCAGAGTCTGGGCTTTTGGAATCATCACTTTTGGAAAGTGGCCTGAGGCTGTGCTTTGGGAGGCTTTGTCTCCTTCGTTTGTCTCTCTGCCTTCTGGTTGCATTGGTGGAGGTAGCTTCCATCAGGTGAGGCCCTTCCACCATGCTATTCCTGCCTTTGAGCCAGCCAACTGTGGACTAAAATGTGTGCCCGATTAGACCTCTCTTTCTTCAAGTTGGAGATGTCAGGAATTGTGTCTCTACATGGGGAAAGTACTGAGATGGCTGTGTTAAATATTGTTACATTATTAAATTTATAACTTTCTGCCATCAATTTGTAGCTTTTGCTGGGTTCACAAAGATCTCCCTGAGTTCAGTAACATGACCCTGCCAATCCAATTTCCTCACTCCTTTATAAACTCCAGAAGGCAGAGCAGAAAGTATACAAAGATCAAAGACAGCTGTTTTACAAAAAGTATTAGATATCTGTGTAGAAAACTCTAAAATAAAATAGAGATCAAAATAATCAAAAATGATAAAAAAAAAACCAAGTTCATATATTGGAAAATTGAAAATCTGTCAAAATAGCCATTGTCTTACAATCATGATAAATGTCCTACTAGTTGTGTGTGTGTGTGCAAGTGTGAAGTGTGTCTGGTGCCTTCGTGTTGGAGGCCAGAATACAGACGGGTCCCCGACTCACTCTCTGCCTGGCCTATTTTCCTTCCCAATAGCCAACTCCGTGGCCTACTGCAATTCTTTCAAAGGCCCCACAATCTTATTTTGAAATGATTCCACTGGATTGAAAACAGTGGGTGAAAGAGTTTATCAAAATTATACCCAATATTTTAAGGGATTTTCATATACCATCTGCTGGTTTATATATACTTATTTACTTAATTATCCTAATAATGTTCAACAGTAGTTATATTATTGTCATTTCCATGCTACAGATGAGAACTCTGAGTTAGAACAGTTAATTCAGTTGTCCAAAATTATTTCTAATGTGACAGAACTGGAATTTAAGCTAAAGATTTTTCTTCAAAAGCCTCTGTGCAGTGCCTTTTACCATAAGTGTTTCAAAAGTATAAAAAGGCACATGATACTTTGTCGATTCATGAATATTTATTTAAATGCCTTATTGGACTTCCCCCCATTTATCAGGAAGAATCTGTGGAGTGGGTCTCCCATAGAACATCCATGGTTAAAGATCTCTGGTGAGTCTATACCTTCCCATCTTACAGTCCAATAATTTGCAAAATAATTTCATAGATTTTACCAAGTTTTCTAACATGGGAGCTCCCTAAATTCCAAAACTCTTTGTCTTGTGCCATCATGGAACACAGTAGCTAAACTTCTTAAAGAAAATTTCAAAGAATCCTTTCAACCATGGGGCTCACCAACATAAGGCGATTTACATTTCAGATATTTAGCAAAAAGGATTGCACACACATCTGGGTCCAGAACCTCTCTCTAGGTCCTTCAACTAGCTGGCCCACTGCACTGACTTTTGTGTCAAAGAATTATTTTCCTCATTTTCTAGGTTAAGTCAAGTGAATTCTTCTGTGTTTTCCCATAGAAATAAAAACAACTGGGCCTAAAGGGTGTTGCCCATTTTTCTTCAGGGATACCTTCTAATGTTTGCTCTCCCGCACACCTGAGTGGTCCTCACTAGCTGATGAGTAACTCCTCCCAACTGGCCTCTGGTCCTCTCAGTCTTCCTGCCTTCACTCTCCTTTTTAACAGGCTATCCCCAGAATAAACACAAAGTGCATCAATCTAGCACCCCCAATGTCCTGCCTGTCATTCCTGTTCCACCTCAACCTCACCTGATTTCTCATCTTGATTGTTTAAAATTTCTCAACATCATTTTGTGAGTTACAGCAGTTCTACTTCATATGAATACACCTTCTAACCTTTTGTCTAGAAAATCTTAAAGGAATGATTTTCCATTCCTCCTACATCTTCTTAGTCTCATCTCCATGGAGATTTGCGAAGGCACACATGGACACAGAGCTTGGAAGGCATAACCCCATAATTATGGAAGATATAATATGCATCACTCTTCTATCCATGCTGTCTACTACAACATAAATGCTGCAACATTGAGTAAAAGGTTTAGTCTGATATTCACATACATTTCTGTTTGTGTAATATTAAAGAAGGTTATTTAAGAAGGTAGAGTAGAGAAAAGGAAATCCAGCTTATTCCAAGCCTATGCAACACCAGTAGGGCTTTCCCAACCAGTAGCGAGGAAGGTTTACTCTAAGACCTTTATGGAAGGCTATTTATTTGCTAGTTGCCAAAGTTGAGTAAAAGTTTTCCTGGTTCTTAAGCACTGAATTACAATAGAATTCCAATAGAGTCACACATGCAATCATACTTGAATGCCCAGCAGGGACTTTAAGGTCAATGAAATAATGAATGGCCAAAGAATTAATAGGAGTTGGGCCTCAGGAGCCTTCCTGTGTTGCAGCTGGGCAGAACAGTACTCTGTTCATGAGCTGAAATCTGCCTCAGACATCTCCACCCCAGCTGTGCCCAGCACAGCTGCCCCTCAGAAGCCCTGTAGAGCTGAGAACTGTTTAAATCACTCGGCCCTCTTCTCTCATCAGACACATTTCCTTTAACATTATCAACTGTACAACAGCTACATTTATGTTGTAGAGACATTTATGACTGCAGACAGTTTTACCAAACAAGATGCTCTTCCTTCCTCGCCCCCACTCCACATCCTCTTTTTCTCCTTGCTGCTAAGACCTCCTTCACTCTTCTCTTTTTTTTCAACACTGACTTTTCGATGCCCTCAAATCCCTGCATAATGTCCTCATCTCTTGCCACGGCCGCTTTCACTACCACCTCCTGTCGCATGGATATCCTGAAATGCCCTAGGTCTTCTGATCTACTTCACGTCTTCAGGTTTGAGTCTGCACAAGAGCTCACACCTACTGAGTCCCCCACTGATCTGGTCTCTGCTGTGCCATCTTTTCTGATTCGTTCAGATGCTGATATGTTATGGTTTCTGCAGGCTTGCCTTCTGTCTGTCTGTCTCTGACATCCTTTCCTAGGCTTGTGAGACCTTTTCGAGCATCTAATCACTACCTTGAACATGTTATATTGAATTCCAGTAAGCTGTCATTTATGTGACCTCATTGAAAACAAGTTCCTAGAGGAACATTACATTCTAGTGTAAGAGTGAAGAGGACAGGCTCAAATCCAAGCTACATGGCTTGCTGTCATCTTGGAGTAGAAATGTAATCACTTTATGCTCTAGTATCCTCTATAAAATGAGATTATTAACAAACCTTATTGCATCATGTTGTTGGAATGATTTCATGAAACTACCTTAGACAACTTCTCAAAGCAGTTCCTATGGGTAAGGATTTAGCACAATGCCCAGCCCATAGCACATTGGTTATTTACCATGGATGCAATTCTTACATTTAGACCAAGTCAGTACATAAGCTCTGTAACTCATAACTGAATAATAAAACAAATATGCAAACACAACACGCTTCTGTTTCTTGCTGTGAAGCATATTTTGGTCAAATACATTTTTGAAGGTAAATTTAGGAATCACTTGTCAATTAGATCCATGAAGAATAAAGCAGATAGATTTCAACATATGTGGGAAAGTTGCATTTCTTTCAATTTTTCTCTCTTAAGTTATTAATAATGGAAAGAATATGTAAATACATTTAGCAATTATCAAATTTATTTAAAGGTTGGTTTTAGCCTTTTATAAAAAACATGTTTATGATGCTGATGGTACATGCACATTCAATGCAATTAGCTGGAACATGCAGCTGAGAAAGAACAGCACTGAGAGTTGTATACTAACAATTTACATTGCCTAACACTAATCATCATTTATTGGATTCCCTGTACTTTGATGTAGAATTCTTTCAACTGGCTTTTAGCACTCAAATGTCCTCCTTAGCCACACAACTTCAAAAACAGTATCTTCTTTAATAAAATTAGAATAGCACCCATACATTGGCCATTAAAGTAAGTTTAATTCTTAGACATATTTGGCACAATTCTGGATTAAATGAAGAAAGAAATCCATTTATAACCCAAAAGGAATGCTTATATTATCCTTGTGCACTAGTGTCAAATGAAGACCAAGTTATGTACATGCAGCTTTAAAATGTACAAAATAAAGCAAAATAAATCATACCATCATTCTTATCTAGGATACCATTAAATAAATTAACCCTTATGCCCGATGTTCGAATGAGGCAAAATATAGATTGGATTTGTGTCAAGTCCAGTATGAGTGTTGTTTTTGCAGATAAAAGTATGAATGTATGGTAGTGCTAGAGACTGAACCTAAGGCGTTCACATGAAGCTACATCCCCAGCTCATTTTTGTGTTTTAAAACAAGGACTAAGTTGCTAAGTTGAACAGGCCATGTTAGACTTGAAATTCTCCTGCTCCAGTCTCCTAGAATGCTGGGATTTCAGCCCTCATCACCCATCCCAGTTCATAACAATGTATTAATCCATATCACACTCATTCATTTGCATGCCAACTGTGACTGCTCTTGCATTTAAACAACAGAGTTTCAATAATTCCATAAAGCCTCAGAAGATGAAAATATTTACTCTCTGACCCATTACGGAGTGTTTGTCACCCCTTGTCCCAAGACATTCATGCTGAGGTAACTTCATGTCTATTTATACACAACACTGCTAGTTGCATAACATTTTTTAGCAAACTGGAAAAACATTCACCAAGGCCTTTACAGAAGCTCAAGCAAAAAAAAAAAAAAAAAAAAAAAAAAAAAAAAAAAAAGACTCCCCTGGAATTCATTTGATTTCTTTCTTATTTTTGAATAATGGAATCTATTTTTCAGTCTGTAATTCATCATCCAAACCACGGTATTTTTGAGAGTGAAACGGGACACTACTAATAGTTATGTCAGGACAACTCATGTAAACTGAGCCATGTGGCTCCCCCCATTCTGAGGTACCACCCAACTAAGCAGCTGACATGCCAAAGCTGCAACATTGGCTTATGAGACATCATCTTTTGTTTTGCTTTTATTTTGGATTTCTGCTCCCATCCCTTCTTCCCCAACATCTCTGTGAGTAGCAGGTCCACTTCAAACACCACAGCACACATTCGGAACTTACTTTTTAATTCTTTCTCCAAAAGAAGCTATTTCCTCCAAGATGTTTTGAACAGTTGACACAATATCCTGTACCATATAGAATCTCTCGATCAGTCCCTTTTTCTCAGATTCCTAGGAAACATAAAGTAAGACATAGCTCAGGGTCTTCCTATTATCATATGATCACAGAAATGGTAGCATGAGTTTTTACCTCTATAATGATTTTAAGAGATGAATTATAGATTCACAATATAAATGTTTACAGATGCAAAAAACAAATATTCTTCATATATTCATCAGCGAAGAAGCTGGAGATGATGGGCAGAAGCCCCTGTGAAGTTCAGAAATGCTCCAGTGGGCAATAATACAGTGTGTTAGAGACACATATAATATGCTTCCAAGGATTGCGGCATCTTAGTCAAATTCTGCTGTATTTTAAGTCAGGGTTTCCTCATATTGCAGGCCTGAGGAACATTTCAATCACCCTTTTGCACCTGCCTCAGAAATAGAGCCAGTACCTGCAGCAGAAGCAATGGGGTCATTATACTGCTGAGTGCAGCCCACCTATGTGATTCCCTAGGTAGGAGGATACCAGTCAGGTGGCTCTGAACTCTTCATGAAGTCAGAAGCAAATACAAGTGAGTCTTCCTTAGTTTCCAGCTCTACATGTAAAATGGAATTAAGTTGTCTAAAAAAAAAAAATGTTACCCTTTACTTTGCATTTAGTCTTTTTTTCCCCAACTAGGAAATGAACCCGGGTCCTTTCCACTGAGCTCAAATCTCAGCCATGGTTTTAATTTATGGACAGTCTTGCTGCTTTGCTAAGTTGCCAAGGCTGTGTTCAAAGTCGTAATCCGCCTACTTCAGCCTACCAGAGTTCTAGGATCACAGGCTATGTTACCATTACTGTGTCCTGCTTGAAAGATCTTAAATCTTTTTTTTTTTCCATTCTAGTTAACTATAGTTGTATACAAACATCAAAAAATATTTCAAATGTCTTAGGAAAAAATGCATATGCTCACAGTCCTGTGAATGTGGTTGTGTCTCAAATCTAGTGAGTGCCCTCTTCGCTCCTGTCTCTCTAGGTCACTAGGGCCACGCACTACATCTGCCAGATGAAACCTACAACCCCTAACAACTCTACAAACCTTCTTTCCTATCTAGAGTTTTACATGGATTAGAATTGTTCTGTATTTTTCAGGTAATGCTTCCAAATTTGGCAGGACATTGCCATAATACCCTCTGTGCGGCAGAAAAGAAAAAAATATCATTTCATCTGGTATTCCTACCTCCATCTAGCTGGGGCCATGAACAGAGAAGGAACATCTACCCTTCTGTAGGGAATACTTGTAAATCCACCAACAAGGTGGACCTGTGAAAAAAAGCACAAACTTTCCTTCCTTACCTGCCCTTGTTTATGAAGTTTTGACTCAAACAGAGCCAAGAGAAAGGCTGCCTCCACCTCTTCACTGAAGGATGCTAAAATGGTTTCAGAAGCTTCTTACCCTCTGGTTTATGCTCTTATCCAATCATCCAGTATACTCGAGCCATTTAACAGAAGGCAGAAACAGACCCACTGTTTCTTCTTACAAAATCAAACCTACAAAATATTTCTACTTTTTACTCCACTTTAAAATTCTTATTTTTTTATCGCTATAACTCTTCACACAGTTTGTTTAAAAAAAAATAGCCATGTTGCCAGAGCGACCTAATTCATGCTCAGCAATCCACTAACATCCATGAAAGGGCACAATGGTGAAAACCCGTCTCTGTCTGTCACATCAGTACCCATGTTTATAAAGGAACATTTGAAAGCACTGGGGAATGTGACCCAAAGGGCAAAAGTGGCTTCTTCCTTTCAGCAGCCTGCAGTTTAGGTCAAAACAATCTCATGGAAAAATGACTTGAATTTCCATAAGGCTCAATTCCATAAAAACCTCCTGCTTCAGTTGTGTGATTTTTAATTTTTTTCCTATGAAAAATATCAAGCACTGTACTAAGGTTCTTGTTGTGAAGAAATCACTGTTAGTATACAAACTAATAGACAATTTTCACAAAGTCTTTTAAGTTTTTATGAATCTTATGTTTCAACTTGAATATTTAGTATCAAAAAATTAGGCTAAAAAGGCCCACAATAGGAACAGAGAATAAAAATAATCATCCAGACTTATATATATTTTAAGAGTAAAATTAATCAAAATAATGTGTTTGAAATATGTATCAACTGAAAACTTGATCTTATTATGTTGGTGGAACTATAAAATTATTTTCACAAATATATTTTTCCAAGTCAAAAACATGTGTGTACCTCAAAATGTATAAAACCAATAATCACATACATGTTCAAATATCTTACTTTGTTTTCTACTTCTATAATCATGTGTCAGGATTGCATCATCAAAAATACATTCAAATGTCATTTTTTCACTTCTAGTATTTCATAAAATTGTTCATAATCAACTTCAGTGCTGTACCTAATGATCATTAAACTGACATCTTAATCGATTCTACTGTGGAACATAACCAAGAAATACTTTCTCTTAAAGGAATTAGTACCATGAAAACTCACACAAAAATGTAATACGAATGTAGAAAATATTCTTGACTATCTATTTTAACTACTAAAATATGTATATTTTAGCTGTACTATTAAGAGCATTACACTTTTGTTTGTATTCGTATGAACTTTCAAGCAGTTTTCATGAATGACAGATACATCTCTGATTCATTTAAACATTTGACAAAATTTACTCTGAAAAATCAATGGCTTCTCAATGTCTTTCCATTCCTAGGCAGAATGTACTTTTATCCTATTAAAAAATCAAAATATTTTCTTCGCTGCTTTGACATAATCTAAAGTGTAAGTTCAGAATTGATTTTTCAGAATTTAAAAATCAAACCATACATAGCATTTGACTTCAGAATCAATTCTGGGCCATTTATGCCCTGCTTTTGTAAATAAAAAAAAAAATCTATCATCTCTTTACCTCACTTCCTTTCATGAATAGCTTCTAATGGAGATTTTACTTTATCAGCCATTTAAAAATATCTAAATGACAGTGACTGGAGTGCATGAGAAATTTTAAAGATTTCCTTTTTGTGTTTGAGTCTGAAAGCTGTAGGGCTTCTGTAGGTCAGGAATAGCAAACCTATGGCACACGTGTCGCAGCCAGCTGTTTACCACTGACAGCTCTAAAAAGTTCACCATCGCTGGTCTAGGTTAGCTGAGAACTTCTCAAAGGTTCAAACGTTCCCCAAATCAGATTAATGATGGTCAACAACATGGTGTATACTGTTATGCTAAAACTAGCATTTGATATAACTGAAACAAAATCTTCTTATGTCATATTGTACATATTGTACCAATATGATGTCTATAAATGTAATACTACAATTTTAATTCAATTGATTGGGCAAAAGCAGTGGGGTGGATATAATCCTGAGAAATGAGAGCACTCTCATGTACACATTTGCCTCCTACTTCTAGACACCTTCATTTTGGAAGGATGCCCGATTAACCACAGTGTTATTACGCTCCTGCAGAACTTGTATTCATACCTCCACTACAAAGTTAACCCCCAAACAAAAGTTTAAGTTCACAATAGCAATGCTGATATCAGAGATTTTATTATTTGTGAAATTTACCTGCATGGAGCTGAGGATCTAGCTCAGAGGCAGAATAGAAACTTAGCATATGGAGGCCCTAGTTCAATTTCTAGCATCCTAAAAATAATTACCATTTGCAAATGTATTATTTCATTTTCATTCTGGCTTCTTTTCATTCTCTTGCCAGCACTGTGGAATAATTCTTCATACATTTAACACATAACTACTTAATAATGTCTAAAGCTTCCCCCAAATCATTATGAAATTGCAGTTAGCACTTAAATCATATTACAGAATCAGATCACAGCCATGGAACAGCATGCTGGTAGACTCACGTGGCTGATGGGACAGAGCTAGTTATTAGGTACTCACCACTCTAAAGAAGAAAATAGCTACTCCTGATTGTTAGTTATAACCTCATGTTTTTCTTTGACAACTTTGGTCTATAACTTTATGAGACATGATGGAAATATACAATGAATATTTAAATTTAAAAATAAACAACAGCAAAAAAACACATCGACGTTCCTCCTCTTTTAAATCCTTCCCCTCACTTTGAAGATATTTTATTTCATTGCTCGTGCCACTTTCTGAAGCAGATCTGGGAGTACTCTTTCAGAAGTCTCTTTAGTTTTGCTGCCCTGTTGTCTGTCTCTTGAACCTATCTGAAACCTTTTCACTTCTATGGTCATTTTGACTTTGGAGAAGAGCCAGAAGTCACCCTACCAGGTGGCGTGAATAAGACAGGTAAAGACACAATTAATGTTTTTATAAGGCTGCCTTTCCATTGCATTTAGCATCGTATTTTAAATCATATATCATAAGGATATTCACAAAGTGGGTTTCAGGACTGCTTGAGACAGAAGCAAGAAGCTACAAAATGAAGCAGGGGGTGTTTTGAATTTGCCAATGTGTCTTTTACTGTATTGATATTTTTAAAATTTAAACTAGATCCTCTATTTATAGGATCCATCATCACCAGGGATATAGCTCAGTGGCATAAGCCTTCGCAAGCTCAGGGCTCCAAGTTCCATTACCAGTACAAAAAAAAAAAAAAAAAAATTCCATGTCAACACTGCTACACTAGTGACTGAGCTTTTAGCACATGGACCCTGGGAGAAACACTCTCAACCCAGGACCAAACCATACGAATGATTATGTGAAATTTTTCACACTCTTTGAATTCCAGTTGCATTTCTAGAAATGGAGATCATAATCCTTGCCCTGGTTAGAGTGTTAGAGGAATTAGACATTATCGCATATATAATTTATCTTGTATATTCTTGGTGGTTTTTAAACCTAAGTCCCTTCCATTCAAGAAGGCAACTTTGCCAAGAAGATAAAGAAATAACCTTTTGGATCATTCAAAGAATATTGGGGTTAAGCTTCAAAAGAAATGGTCTTTCAGGACAAGTCCACTCACGTTGCCCTCAGTTGTAGGAAAGACCATCTGGCAATTCTCTATGCCTCACGCTGGCTTTATTTACACATTTCTGATTGAACTGGGGAGTATGGTGATAACAAAC